TAATTTTTCACCTACGTGACTTTACCGAAAAAACCTAAGAATATGAATCCTTGCAGTCACGAAAGCTTCAAATCTAGAACATCAAAGCAGTTTAAACTTTACCTGGTTGATCACGTCCTTCCAATGATTGCTTAATTTGTATCCATCTTCTCGGTTGAAGTTATGTCTTTGTTTATAAATCTGATGGCTTCATGGACAAATCTTTGATGGTAGCCCGAAGGTTTGCAGAGTACCTTGGTCTCGGAAAAGACAATATGGTGTGAGCCCACCGCGTTCAAACCGTGATCAGCCACGGCAGAGGTATTGGTGCTGCCGTGTTTCAAATCTGCCCTGTGTTCGCGAACACGGTCCGAGACATGTCGTTTCGTTTCCCCAATGTAACTGCTGCCGCAGACACAACTTAGTTTGTAGACACCAGGATATTGCATGTCAGGAATCACATCTTTCACAGATGTGATCAAATCATGGATTTTGTGTACTGTGTTGAATCGAACCTGGATCTTGTGTTTGTTCAAGATTTTGGAAATCTTTTTGGTAACTCCTGCTATGTATGGCAAGGTGATGGTTTTGATTGGGTCCTCAGATGGTTCCCTCCCTATGGTTGGGGATACAGCTTTGCGGATTGTGCGGTCAGAATATCCATTCATATTGAGGGCTTGGCGTACGTGCTCCAGTCCACTGGCTAGGTGGTGCTGGTCGGAGATGCAACGGGCCCTGTGGTGTAGTGTTTTGATGAGGGAGTTCTTCTGGGCTGGATGGTGGTGGGAATCAGGCTTTAGATAGGAATCCGTGTGGGTGGCTTTCCTGTAGACAGTGTCCCAACGAGCCATCAGGTCTCTTCTCAATCAAAACATCCAGGAATGGTAGCTTGCCATCATTTTACACTTCCATGGAGAATTTGATGGATGGGTGTATGGAATGTATGTGGTTGAAAAATTGGTTCAGTGCTGGCAGGCCATGTGACGAGATAACAAACGTGTCATATACGTATCTCTTCCACAAGGAAGGATGTAGGTTGGATGTCTGGATGCATCTGTCTCCATGAAAACATTTGCTACCACTGGTGATAAGAAAAACCCATTGGGGTACCCTCATTTTGTTTGTAGAAATGTACCATTCCAGGTGAAGTAATGGTTGGTAAGGCAATGCCTCACCAAAGTTGGTACATCAGGATTCAGTCCCTGTTGGACCAAGTCTTCAATGATTGCAATGGTGTCAGGTACAGGTACCTTGGTGAACAGCGAGACTACATCGAAACTGACAAGCAAATCATCTGGAGACAGTGAGATGTTCTTGATTAGAGAAACCAAGTGAGCTGAGTTAAGTACAGCTGAGGTGGTCTTGCCCGTGACAGGAAGCAGGGTCTCAGACAGAAGGTGGGTGAGTTAATGGTGGAGACGATAGGACGGAGCGGAGTACCTTCTTTATGGATTTTTGGAAGGCCATAAAATCTGGGTGGTCCAGCAGCCGAAGGTTTTAGAGAGAGCTGCTTGGTCGGTTCGATTAGAGAAGTCGAATTAGTGATGATATTATTCATAATCAACGTTTGTGGGTTTAGATCGCGTTATTTATAATGTGTCGTAACCCTCCACCACCCGACACGGCCAATCAGTAAAAAAAGTGTCACGTTGACAAAGACAATTAGTTCACTACTTTAGCTCACCGTGTGTTGAGCGTGAAACACAACACCTTACAATTTTTTGTGATATTGTTGTTTTCATAGCAAGGCGGTTGGTAGGGTCTCTATTGAATTTTGTTGTTGTAAGTGGTTTTTATCCATGATGACAGTGGCATTGCCTTGTCGGCTGAGAGGATGACAATGTCATCTCTCTTTTTAATTGAGCGAGTTCAAAACGCTCATCCTTGCTGATGTTGCTAATGGATTTCTTAGCAATTTCTGAGGATAGCAGCGATTTCAGATCTTGCAACGTCTACCGGGTGCGGTCCCAAACTTTTGAGGGCTACATCGACCAGGGCAATGATATCATCCACTGGATGTTTTGGGGTGACTGCGAAATGAACCCTCTAGCGAGTACCGATTTTAGGCTGTCGGAAATTGGGCTGTTACTCTGATTGATAACAATCTTGTTAGACAAAACTCTTCTTTCAATCACACTTATCATTAACAGATAAAATGTCCACATCTGATTGGGACCGACGTAGATAACCATGACACTTTCCTCAACTACTTCATGTCAACCAAATGTAAAGTTAACCTGATTGCTAAATTCAAACCTCCTGTCAAAAAAAAAACAGAGCTTGGCCATATACTGGAACAGACAGAGGTAATTTCTTGCCGACGGCGGACGAGAAACTTTCTCATCTGCACGTGAACGGGAAGAGCGATGCAAGGGCAGTGTTGGCGTTAACAGAAGCGCACGTTACGCAGAGCGGCTCAATGCTAACGGCATTCAAATCGGTCACACCTGAGGTCATTGCGTCTCAGCCAACGCACTCGTGGCTAATGCGTTACTAATGCTACTCGCCTATTTGGCTGCTTCGTATAATAGCTGTGCTAATGAATGAGACCGGCCACTCCCATTGTACGCGCGCACGCAAGTCGTGCTACGTTTACGGAGAGCACACAGTTGAAAGTGGCGCCTGATTTGCTGTACGTGTGTTGAACTTCTTTTGCACCGCACGTAGCGAACCGTGCTGATCGGAGGGGCGACAGAAGACCACAGAATAAACACAAAAAGCAGTTCTAAGGAAAATACGAGCGACGGCTGATGATGCTGGCGGTCCGGGAATCAAACTTTAAGAACCGCTGCCCTAACACAAACGCTCAAGCAGTCTAACGCGCAGACACACACAGGCAGAACTAACCGTTGCGCTACTGCTCCCCGTATACGTGGCCCGAGGGAGAAGCACTTTTTCTCCGGAGGTCATTTATTTCCCACTCTGCTTACATCGACTCTTTGAAAATTCAGCCCTCAAAGCCATTAAAGTGGATTCCGCGCGTACTCGGCATGCAACGTTTCAGCCGTTCAATGCTGGTCATGATAGCGCATCGAATTGCGTGCGCGTTGAGAACACACACGCTTATTCATGATTTATGCAAATTGTACGCGAATGTTTACACGTGTTAAGGCTAATGGCGAGAGAGAACAGGACAGAAGAAAGGAGAACATCTAAATGCATGTTACAGGGTAAAATTGAGACAAAACAAATAGACACCTGAATAGAATAACAAATCCGAGCTGTAACAACAACAACAATAATAATGTAGATTTGTAAGGCGCATTTCATCCGTAGTAGATCCCACTAATGCGTCCCGTGTACGGAAAGTGGGAAATAAACAACCTGCAAAGGTACACGGCCAGACCTAGGGAATTAAAGGCCAATTTTAGAGCTAAGTTTTCAAGATGGACTTAAATATAGCGAACGATTGCTTTTTTAATCCTTTGCACAGCAGGGAGGGTGAGACATTATGCAACTAATATCAGCCATTACAGGGACAGGATATATTTTTTGCAAAGATTTTGCCGGTTTTTTACAACGCTTTTATTTAACTCACTCCGGCTGTTATCATATCCTCAAAAAATATTCTAACTCAATTTTTACCCACTTCCCAATGTGTTATCGACTGCAAACTTGGTATACTTATGTCATACTGATGACAAGACTATTCTATAATTACAATAAAAAAAATATATTTTTAAACATTTTACACGCTTTTTAATTTAAATCATTCTGTCTGTTGTATCCTCAAATCTTGTACTCAATTTCAACCGTCTTCCCAATGTCGTGTCGACTGCAAAACTTGGTATACGTATGTCATACTGATGACAATACTATATTCTATAATTGAAAAAAAAATTTAAACTATCTTTTTTATGGCTCTAATTGTCCAAGTTTACGGCTCTAATTGTCCACGCTCAACTCACGTTGCCTGTAATCACCACGTGGTCCCTGACGTTACGGCAAGCCTCGGGGAGCCACGCCGAGGGGCTGAGGATGTGGAAGGAGGGGAGGGGCGATGGGGGAAGGGGGCAGGGGGAGGGGCAGCTCGGACAGTACATTTCATTAAAGCGTGTTTTAAAAAAAAAAGTATTTTTTTATATTTTATAGACTACCACCTTAGTCGGGGGGTGGTAAAGGGAGGGGGCTCCCACTGATAAAACATCCTCGGGTGATGAAGCACAAAAGGGGGCCACATCTGATAATTGTTATTTTACCCTTCTATCTGGCAACAAAACTGACAACCTTTTTTACAAGGAGTCATGTTTGCATAGACCACAATACCTGCCGTCATAATGCAAACAATAACACAACTCTGATAATGTATGCACTGTCCTTGAAGTTGTGGTCCACACCCTAGACAGCTTTCCTTAGAGCCTAGTCTCACATGGGTTGGACCAATGACGCCAAAAGGCGCACAACTCAAAGACAATGCACCATCAGGGGCCACATCTGTCATGAGAAACTATTGGTCTTCTTCCACGGATCGAGCGATCATGAATACCCACTTCCTGTACCGTACGATGTCGATGGCCAAATTCATCTGGAATGCACCGACAGGCTCAGGGCCAGTTGCGTATGCAGCTTATCATTTTCATAATCTTCTTTCGTATGGCTGATGTACATGCAGAGCAACAACTACAATGTCACGTGTCAGGTGCTCAAGCGAGATAAACGCGTCAGGAGTAGCAGAGTGTATCGCTGCGATGTTTCCTTCGTGGATCGGGCATTGCGTTCGTTACACGTTGCACGGTCTGTTCTGGATGAGAAGAAGTCGCACCCTGGAGGGTATTTTGATTAACATTTGTGCATCAGCTGCCACGGTTTATGCTGTCGATGTGGTTGAGGGTGGACAATTTTTATAACGAGCAGGCCCTAAATACTCTTTTGGTTCTTCGGTAAAGTCACGTAGAAAGAGACATAATACATTAAACAATAGCATACGACGTTTCGATTGCAACACAAGCAATCATCAGGTACAAATGAAAGAGAAATCAAAACCTAGTAAACTTAGAAATATAATGTAATTACAACACAGATAGTCGGCAAACACAACAGTCACACCCTACCTGGTTGATTACGCTCTTCCAAAGATTGCTAAATTTAAGAGAGAGCTTAAACACAGAACAGGAGACACATAGACAGACACGTAAGCAGAGAGAGATAACACAGAGACACACAGAGAGAGGACAAACACACAGGCACACAGAGCCCTAAATAGCTAGCCGCCACGGATCACCTGACAGGCACCCAGCCACGGAATACGACTCACCCCGACCTCCTCTCGTCGTCTTGCCCCTTGTGACCGCTGACCCCTGACCCTCTGGCCCGACCTCTGCTGCCCTTGCCTTGACCCCTGCTCGTAGAAGTATGGACCTCGTCCGCCCTCTCCTCGTCGTCTTGGTCGTCATCGTCGCGATCGCTCGACTCCCCAGTGGGTCTGATTGCTCGGAGGAGCGGCTCACCGCCTATAGGACGGGGCAAGACAAGAGAAGAGAGATTATACTGGTTGGAACCTCCTGGTTACACCAGCCCACAGGGGATTATTGTGTCCGTCCGTCCGTTGTGCAGGGAGGAGCTGGGTGGGGAGGGTGGGGCTGGGTGGGGAGGCAAATGAGGTTCCAATGGTGTAAATGCTTTCCCCGAGCTCTCATACTCTGATGGTGCATTGTCTTTGAGTTGTGCGCCTTTTGGCGTCATCTGGTCCAACCCATGTGAGACTAGGCTCTAAGAAAAGCTGTCTCGGGTGTGGACCAATCAACTTCAAGGACAGTGCATACATTATCAGAGTTGTGTTTTTTGTTTGCATTATAACTGCAGGTATTGTGGTCTATGCAAACATGACTCCTTGTAAAAAAAGGTGTCAGTTTTGTTGCCAGATAGAAGGGTAAAAAAAACAATTATCAAAAACATACCTCTTTGATGTCCTCGTCCTCCTGCATGTTTTTCTTGCAGGACTCACGGAACTGACGCACCTGAAACGAGACGAGGCGTCATTAGCGAGGGCAACGAAGGCAAGACGACGCGGCGCACGAACTGGGCGTGTAGTAGCTCGGGTGACTCGTTTGCTCGTTCGCTCCGCTATCGACCACGGACAATAATGATCCACTGTGACGGGACTGCGTTGAATTCTCGAGAAGTTTAAGATGCTCAGGAATGATAATTGGTTTTTACCCTTCTAACTGGCAACAAGACTGACACCTTTTTTACAAGGAGTCATGTTACATAGACCACAATACGAGCAGTCATAATGCAAACAAAAAACATAACTCTGATAATGTGCACTGTCCTTGAAGTTGATTGGACTCCATGTAAAAAAGGTGTCAGTTTTGTTGCCAGATAGATGAGTAAAAAAACAATTATCATATTGTTACTAGCAAATGAGGTTCAAATGATGCTCAGGAATAGTAAGATGTACTTTGGAGTCATTTTGGTAAAAAAAAATGTAATTTTAAAATAGGAGGAACGTGGTACTTTATAGAGCCGTCTTCCAGGGGTTGCAAACGCGGTGATTTAAAAGCATCCGGTTCGGGAAGTCTTCTGGAAGACGATGCATTCTCCGGATTGCAAGACGCAGGGATGAACTGAAACTTATTCGTAGACTAGCATAGATTGCCATGGAGACTGGAGGTGAATATAATGGAGACAAACCAAAGCATAACACAAATAAAGAAAATATTATCAGCGACAAGAACATGAATAATATTTTCCAAATAAAATAGCGGAAGTGTTATGATAATTAATAAAAAAGGCATTATTCATGGTCTTGTCCACGGCCACCAATGACTGAACAAAATCACCACTGTGTAAAATTTAGAATTTTGCACTTAAATTTGACATTCTTAGCAGATTCCGCACAACAATTACTTGTTAAGCAAACAGTGTGCGAACCTCAACCAAAGCACAGCCTCCAGAAGATGTGATATTACTTTAGGATCCCCCCCCCCCCCCATCCCAGAGGACACGGTGTGCATCCTCTGACACGCGTTCTTACGGGGGGGGAGGGGGGGGCGGCTACCGGCCATCAGAGGTCGCAAACGGGTTTTGATTCCTTACCCTTACCCGTACCCGGCCCCACCAGGGTTGCAAACGGGTACCCGTACCCGGCCGTACCCGTACCCTACCCGTACCCGGCCGGGTAGGGTACGGGTATCGGGTACCTGATTGCGACCTCTGGGATGAAGCCATGTTGCAGGCGTGGGTGGGTTGATTCTAGGAACTTGAATTGTGAGAAGAGACAAGACGTTGGGAAATGAGTGACAAACGGTTACTCACCAGTGACTCACGGCCTACCCGTACCCATACCCGGCCGCACCAGGGTCGCAAACGGGTACCCGTACCTGGCCGGGTACGGGTAGCCGGGTATCGGGTAGGGTACGGGTATCGGGTACCCGGTTGCGACCTCTGCCGGCCATCATCCATTCCTCGCGCCGCGTCCCGCCTAAGCCCAACGTATTCTATTAACAGCGACGACGATGTTTTATAATCCGCGTGTTGCTCAACCACAAGCATACTCTGCACACTTTTCAGCTTTTTTTTTCCAACGTTGCATGTGGCTTATAATGGACGTAATTATTCACCCAAGAAAGGCTCATGAATCTCAAGACTCTTTTTTCAAGTTGGGTCCCTTCAATGGACAGTGTGACCAATTACATTCACGAGTGCTTTGGCATAAAGGAAGGAAATCTGCGGTAGGTAGAAAAGACTCCGTTACACAATTCAGGAAGACTTAAAACGCTACACAGAAGATGATCCAAGAAAAGCAGTGATGAAATTGTCATCTCCACACCACCTTGCAACCAGAGACTAATACACCTTACACTCCCCCATTCGGTCTCTCCTAGCTAAAAAAAAATATTGCTTAACTAACAAAATAGGACGCATTCAGGGGCAATTTTGTCTTTGTAGGCGTATTCAATAAAAAAAAAAGATTTACTCTGTGCTTATATTCTGACAGCACGACTGTAACATAAACGGTGACAAGCGCTTAAGTAATGTTTAACACAAAGCGATAACAGTCATCGGTCGCGGATGAATCACGCTGCGTTCACCCTCATGGTGGTGATGATTGGTATTGGTGACGGGGGACGGATCTCAGGTTGGGGCCGACCGAGCGGTGAACCGTGCTGTGTGCGCACTGCATGTTTAATGCTAATAGCGCGCTGAACACATTTGCATAGACTAAATCTGCTCAGAGAGACATTAAGCCGAGTAAACGCGTTTTATTTGGCCAGCTGCGCAGTGAACCAAATATTATATGCACAATAAAATAGACAAACAACTTTCCATCTCTTCGTATTAAATACTTATAGAGCATCAGCCTTATAGGGCCTATAATTGGCTTTTCAGGATATGTGGCTTCTGCTACCATGGTGGCCAGAATTCTTTGAAAAAGTACCCACACTTTACCCCACCACCACACGCAACCTATTTATACTGCTCGGTGGATGGAGGCGGAGGGTTTTAAAGATTTAACACGTAGGCTTTCGCGACCCCCCCCCTCCACCACCCGACACGGCCAAACAGTAAAAAATGTGTCACGTTTTCCAAAGGACAAAATTATTCACTTCTTTAGCCCACCGGTGTGCTGAAGAGAGAATCAACAGCATTTTAAAATTTGAGTACGATGTTCCATTCTTGCCCGATGAAGCTGATTGTAATTATCAGCAAAATGCTGTTGATTCTCTCTTCAGCACACCGGTGGGCTAAAGAAGTGAATAATTTTGTCCTTTGAAAACGTGACACATTTTTTACTGTTTGGCCTTGTCGGGTGGTGGAGGGTTACGACACATTTATAAATAACGCGATCTGACCCAAAAACCTATATTATGGTTTTAAAGATGCTTGGGTGGGCGGTGTAGTGGTAAGAACCCAGAAACCCGAGTTGGAAATCTACTTACGGCGAACACCAATAATGCTCCCACCCGTCTCTAGGTCAACTCAGCCTCAAATGAGTACCCGGTGCAGTGTGTTAACATCGTCGCTGGGAAGACAAAGGTGGCCGGGTGTGGTCCTTGCCACCCACCCCCCCCCTTCGTGTGTCGTTTCAGCCTTCGTAGGTGTTCGCTGCCCCAGCAGTCTGCTGAGGCTATGCGGGGGATCTTTGTCTTTGTATCCGCAAAGCACCAACTCTGGGACAAACCAATCGAATGGTTAAATCGCTTACAACCAAATCCCTAATGGTTGCTCTACATGGGCCATACGAAATAAGAATCAGTGGTGGGGTGGGGGTGGGGGGAGCCTTTTCGGCCATGCAGAGATTTTAATTAAAAAAAATGTATTTTACCAGGTAAAGCCCACTGAGCTATGTAGCTCTTTTCAGAAGCGACCTGGCCACATGTGATAGCTCAACGAAGCGGCTGATGGTGTGGAAATGTATAGCAGACAAACACTCAAAACCACTGCAGCCTGCACCCTTTTAGTTCTCAGAAAGGGCATCTCACCCCCCAAGGGGTGGGTGCATCCCAGGTTAAGAACCACTGCTCTAAACGCATGTTTGATTCTAAATGTGGAGGGAAAAAAATAGAGGACCATGTGACTATGGGGAGAGAGAGCATACACAAACTCCAAAAATACAGCAAGCGTCAGGGTCCTGATCGAACCCACGACCACCTGTATACCAGGTGAGGTAGTTAACATCTCCTAGCCACCGTGATCATGATGAGAGAGACACACAAACTCCAAATATACAGCAGGCGTCAGGGTCCGGATCGAACCCACGACCACCTGTATACCAGGTGAGGTAGTTAACATCTCCTAGCCACCGTGATGATGATGAGAGAGACACAAACTCCAAATATACAGCAGGCATCAGGGTCAGGATCGAACCCACGACCTCTTGCATACCAAACGAGGTAGTTAACATCTCCTCGCCACCATGATGATGATGAGAGAGAGAGACACGCAAACTTCAAATATACAGCAGGCGTCAGGGTCAGGATCGAACCCACGACCTCCTGCATACCATGCGAGGTAGTTAACATCTCCTAGCCACCGTGATGATGAGGAGAGAGAGAAAAACACGCAAACTCCAAATATACAGCAGGCATCAGGGTCAGGATCGAACCCACGACCTCTTGCATACCATGCGAGGTAGTTAACATCTCCTTGCCACCGTGATAATGATGAGAGAGAGAGACACGCAAACTCCAAAAAAACAACAGGTGTCAGGGTCCGGATCGAACCCACGACCACCTGTATACCAGGCGAGGTAGTTAACATCTCCTAGCCACCGTGATGATGATGAGAGAGAGAGAGACATGCAAACTCCAAATGTACAGCAACAGGCGTCAGGGTCAGGATCGAACCCACGACCTCCTGCATACCAGGCGAGGTAGAGTTAACATCTCGCCACGGCGGCGCCAAAAAATGGCGCAACCACCAAATGTGTCGACAATTGTGTTTGGTGGCGCGGCGAGCACGTTCACCGTGTAGCTCGCGTTTGCCTGTCGCCATCAGCAACATTCAGCAGCCACCACGCAGGTCGAGCTAATGAAGCGTCGCAGAAATCCTATCTTCTCTACGCCGCCGCTGCTCCTCACGTATCACAAATCGTGTCGTCAGTCCGTGGGAGGCAAGGCTCCGAAAGAGCCCCCCCCCCCTCCCCGCACCCCCCCATGCGTTCATTACATTACTCGTTAGGAACGTGCAATCTGGTGGGCCCCCTTTCGTCGTGCATTATGAGGCACCCTCGAATTGCCGTGGCGATAAATCGGGAAGTTTGTCTGGGTGGTGGGCGCGTTAAGGAAGTTGGCTAGCGGTGACACATGCAAGAGGCCAGCTACGGATGGCATTGGGAGATCTGGATAATGTTGGGTGTACGCTTTGATTGGGTGAGCGGCGTATGGCGTTAGCAATAGAAAGGCTTGTTGGTGCTACAAGGCAAGAAAGGCGGCAGGGCGACTCCGTGATAACGCTCGTGTCTCACAGCAAGAAAGTCCTGAGTTCCATTTCTCACTCAAGTGCCTTTCTGTGTGGTGATCAGTATCAGAATATGTATTTATACTGGAGGAATCTGATGGGCTATAAAGTTATTTTTCACAGATGTCCAGAGATTGTATGTGCTTCCCCTGTTCAGCAAGGGTTTTTTCTCAAGGTTCTCTGGTGTTTCTCCCCACATAGCATGCAAAAATTAACCCGTAAAAACAAAGTCTTTCACTATAAATCTTTTATATGCGTGGCATCGGGGCGGCTAGAGTCCTCTCGTCCTCTGGCTTGAGATGGCTGCCACCTATGGATCAGATGATTGTCTGGCAGCATTAAACAATTGGTAATTAAATATTTATTTATTTCTCTCTAAACAGTGTAAAATTTTGAAAAAAAAATTTCACGAAAATGCAATGTCACGCACAACGAGTCTGTGTGCAAAATGTCAGCTCAATTGGATCACGGGAAGTGGGTTAAAAAACGACCGAAAGATTTGCACGGTCCTAAGCAAGCAAGTGAACTTAATATAAAGGATTTAAAAAGACTTCAGTGCAACTGGTATTGGCCCAAAATATCCGAATGCAGCAAAAAGAATCCTGCGAATTACTCAACTGGAATTGCGCTGAGAAACATCGCCCCCCTGCTGCGTAAACTTGACAGTACCCCGTCTGAATAAAAAATGAGTCTTGAGACTCAATGAGGCTTTTCTGGGTAAATAAGCCTAATAATAATGGAAATAAGATGCAAAAGGAGTGAAGGTGAGGGTTAAAGACGGCCATTTAATCATGTATCACGCTTAATTGGGAAAATGCCTCCTAAGAATTAAGACGTACTATGTCTTAATAAAGGCTCAGATTATCTCTGATGAACAGCAGTTTTATAACAATTTTAAATTAGTATTATTTGTTAACATTTTTTTCACGTTAAAATGTATTTGCAGCCACTTTTGTAAATCCACTTACTGAACGGAGGCCTCTTCAGGCCACGTCGGTAGTAGACATCGTTTGACCATACTTCACCACGCAGGTAAATTCGAGTTGGTTAAGGGTGAGGGGGGGCAAAACTGTTCGGGCTCAGGTCACCGGGTTCAGAGCCCAGAACATCAACCGCCGTGCCAACGCATTCTTCAAGACTAATAATCATTGCGAAGAAATTTTTTTTTTTGCTGTTTATAAATGATGCCGAGATTATCATCACGTACAAGGTAAAGTCACATAGAATGGAAATAATAAAATAATAAAAATAAAACATAATAAAATAATTCTCACGACGTTTCGGCCACAACGCAAGCAGCCGTCCTCAGGTGAAGACCAGGTCTGTCAGAAAGACAGCGTCTGAATGAGGACGGCTGCTTGCGTTGTGGCCGAAACGTCGCGAGAATTATTTTATTATGTTTTATTTTTATTATTTCCATTCTACGTGACTTTACCGAAAGAACCAAGAAGATGAATCCCTGCAGTCTCATAAGCTTTAAATCGAAACGTACAAGGTTGTTTTTACAGCGTTACCAATTAATTGCACAAAGTGAGCAAAATAGCGCTGCGATTTGTCACGGGCCTTGGCGGAGAGGGAGTGAAAAACGCTTCAATCTGCATCCTACTTTTCAAGAGCACACGCCGACAGACAAAAAAACAGGCTAAAACAAGTGATAAAACGTGTGCGCGTGAGAAATTAACACCGCGGTAGGTCAGCGTTTAGATGCAACCTGGATGCGAATCTGAGACAGAACGTGCCCCCTGACCTCTTCACCAATGGTATCGACTGACGACACCTCCGTTTTCTTCAGATGTTCCTGCGTCTTCGCGAGCTGCACTTTGACCAGCTCCGAGATCGCCTCCTTTTCTTCCTTGTCAACAAACTCTTGCACCGCCGCACCCATTCCTCGTTCCGTCAACAGCGCCAGCTGCACGTTCTGAATAAAACACGCGCGCCACAACGCGTTAACGGAGAGCGCTGCTCACTGTTATTCGTCCGTACACCCATTATCCGATTTGTGGAGTGGTTGGCATGGTGGTTAGCGCGCCACTCCGTGATCCCGACAAGCCGAGCTCAATTCCCGGACCAGGGGCTGACATCACCTACCCGCACTGACCAGTGCGGTGAAGAATGGTCAAACAACACCCATGAGCGACACGGCATGCGGGAGGGCCTTCATCCATCAGCGGACTCAAAAAGGCCTGTAAATTATTATTAATATTATTATTATACGACACTGCTGTTATTGGTGTCAAGAAATATTATCCACGCGACGATTATCATCAGAGATAATTGTTTTTTTACCATTTAATATGGCAACAAAACTGACACCTTTTTTACAAGGAGTCATGTTTGCATTGACCACAATGCCTGCGGTCGGAATGCAAACAAAAAACACAACTCTGATAATGTGTGCACTGTCCTTCAAGTTGATTGGTCCACACCCGAGACAGCTTTTCTTAGAGCCTGGTCTCACATGGTGTTGGACCAGATGACGCCAAAAGGTGCACAACTCAAAGACAACAGCACTATCAGAGTATGAGAGCTCGGGTGAAGCATTTACATCATTGGAACCTCCTTTGCCAGTAGCAAAATATGATAATCATCAGAGACTTTGCTTAGATATGAAGAGTGACACATACGTGTTGACAAAGTCGTCATATTACGTATATTTATATGCACTTTCCTGTGCGGATAAGAGGAGTAATTTATACAAATAGACACGGATAACAGGATCTGTCTGCAGTGGCTCCCACAAATAATACACTGGTCAACAAAAAAACCCATTTTTTTTCTGGCCTGGACTTTTGCAGCTGTTTTAGACTAATTTCAGGGTGTTGATTCCAAATCTGATCTCAGATTTGCTCTATCACATCTCATTTTTATACTATCGGCATACCCCATTTTCATTGATTTTACCCAAAATTAACTGTCACTTATGATTGCAAGTTGTTGCGAGTCAGTGACTGCTTTAGTGTTAAAATATGGTGCTGTATTTTTAGGATAGTGTGTTAATAATATCATTTTATGTAGATATCCACATTTATTTAATATTTTTCTTCTGCAGTTTTTATTGAAAATGCAATATTTGATATCTCAAAAACCTGATGTGATAGGCAAAAACTGATGCCAGATTTGGAATCAGCACCCCAAAATTACATTGAACCCGTTGGAATACCTTATGCCAGAAAAAGTGTGTTGACCAGTGTAATCGAATGAGCAGAGATACACCGTGCGCTCGTGAAACGTGCATTTGTCCGAGTGTACATCTCCGCGGAATAATTCCCCTCTGGACAAAAATTGCCCAAATCACAAATGGGGCCTTAATGGAACCCAGAATTTTACTGTCGCAGAGCAGATGTTCCTGCATCTTCGCTGGTCGAACTTACGTTGAGAAAAGTTGAAAATGTATGCAAAGTAACGAGGCTGATGAACTAAAACTCTTTGGCTTCCATAAAGTCCACGTCGTGGACTAATTGGTGGATTAACATTTCTTCTTTGCACTGCAGCTGACTTTTCCCGATGTGGGACAGACATCACGCAAAGGCTACATTAACGTCAAATTGGTCGTGACAGCCTGCGTGTTAAGTACTGTAAGGTATTTCGATTTAAAGCTTTCGTGACTGCAGGGATTCATCTTCTTGGTTCTTTCGGTAAAGTCACGTAGAAGGGAAATAATAAAATAATGAAAATAAAACATAATAAAATAATTCTCACGACGTTTCAGACGCTGTCTTCCCGACAGACCTGTTCTTCACCTGAGAACGGCTGCTTGCGTTGTGGCCGAAACGTCGTGAGAATTGTATTTTATTATGTTTTATTTTTATTATTTTATTATTTCCCTTCTACGTGACTTTACCGAAAGAACCAAGAAGATACTGTAAGGTATTTTTTATTTATTTTGCGACTTATTTTTGAGATATTATTATTTATCACTATTTTATCAGACAGAATTCTCGATTTTTCCATGAAATTCGTATTTTAAAGTGTGATTGTATTATGCATCTCCAGTTGTATAATGGGGTCGGTGGGAAGATAGGGTTCGGTGTATGGAATTTCGTTTGACAGGCAACTTTTCTTGAACGTATCTGTTCCGTACACACATTGAGCACCCCTATTACCAAGCACAATTAAGTGAGTCAGGATTATCTCTTCAAGTGTGAAACTACGAATGTAGCGACACACTCGAGACATGAAATCGGATTTACTGTGGAGGCAATTATCAATACGAGACAAATCACTTGCACCCCACACACTGCTTTTAATGTGGCAGAAATTCTATAAATTGGAGGCAGATTCTTTTTCTGTTTAAAAAAAAAGAACATTTACGTGCTCAAAAATATCAAAGATTTTTTGTTTAAACCTCTCGGTTCAGATAATTGAGTCAGTTCAAATAGATGTTTGAAGGCGCGCGCAGCTTATGACATTAAGTTATTAAAATAGCCAAACACCTCTTAATCTAATCTCACACGTAGGCTTTCACAACAATGTACGTCATCGTAACGGGAAAGGGTTAAGCTTGGAGATTACAGTCGTGATGTCATTCAAGGTGACTGGTGGGGAGACTGCAAAGAGAGACTTGTGTGGAGGCATGAGGAAGTCAAGCAAAAGGAGGAACAGAATAAGAGAAGGGAATGCCAATCTTGTTTTTATTAAACTTTCAGAGAAACACTTCAGTAATAATTTCTTGCTGTGGTTGTCACACCTGATGCTGATTGCTTGTGTTGCAATCGAAACGTCGTGATTTAATTGAGTTATTTCTATCTTTTATTTTTATTCTCATTTTTTATTTTTTCATCTACGTGACTTTACCGAAAGAACCAAAGAGTATGGATCCTTGCAGTCACGGAAACTTCAAATCTAGAAGGAGCTGAGACCTTCAAACATGGCAACGGAATGCGAGTTTAAGAGGCTGCATGCTTCAGGCACCCGTAGAGACTTTACAACAGCAGTGTTCAGCCCTGCTGTACGGTGGGAACGGAGTTCAAATCAGGGACAGAACCACGTGGAATGACTTCCCAGGAAGGGGATATGCTGCTGTGGTGTAATAGCGGCAGTGAACTTGCAATGCGTAGGTAACTGGTGGAAAAGATCGGTAGGTTTCTTAAACTCCCCCCCCCCCCACCTCTGTCCACCAAGTAGTATGAATGGGAACACCACAGTTGATTGATCGGGAGGTCAAGTGTTGTCAGAATCCACCCACCTCTTCGAAGACAACTGGCCAGCGTGGAAAAAGTAGCAGGCCTGCGTGCAGGCAGGGAAATGAGCAATGCATTTTCAGGGCCGCACCCTTTTACCCAATTTCCATAAATGACCCGAGGCATGCAAGGCGTTCGCGTGACGCCCCTGGCTGCTGAATAATTTACCTTTTCGGCGGATTTAAAATACTCTTTAACCAAGTCTTCCACCCGCAGTGTGTTCTCTCCGTGGGCCGCGTGTGAGAATGCCTGGCCGAAATCAATCTCGTCCCCTGGAAGAAGGTAGAACAGCAAAACCGATGTCAGCGCGGGTGCACAGTCCTCATTTTCGCTCAAGTACAACATGTGGTTCAGTGCCGAGTGCACGTGACACACAGAGTGGTCTGCTTTTGTGTGGTGTGTAATGTCACGATACCAGGGTGCATATCCCTGTCTGTTGTGATACTGGTATTTCTTCGGCACGACACAACGTACGTGAATGGTGAAAAAATGTTAATGGGCCGAGTTCGAATGTGCTAAACGCTACGACGCTGCCTCCAAAAAGAAAATATAACCGGGTAACATTTTCAAGAAATGCCCTTTATTCGGAGCAGAAAGGGCACAAGGATTGACTGATGCACTTTGAAGTGACGGTGCCTTGGAAACACATTTGAAGTGTACATAACATTTGAGGCACGCAGACACGTGGACAGTTTTCAATTGGCATGCGAGTATGAATGGTTTTCCATTACCAGATATTGAGCAGTAAACAAACCTTTTAAACAAAAAAAAATAGCATTGATTGAAATTCGAACGTGCATCAACATGATGCGGGGCTTTGTAGCGAGGCAGCGGTTATCGCCCATCTATGAACTCAACCGACCTCAGTTCGACTGCCAGGACAAAGCTCTAACCGATGTCCCCGCACCTCCGATTAGAACGGTTGGCTACGTACAGTGCGAAACAAACACACATACATAAGTAACGGTCCTTCACTAACTCGCACTGACCAGCGTGGTCAAGTTATGATATTGCAGAACTGCATTATGGGAGGCCAATATATATTTTGAGGGAGGCAGTTGAATGCCCACTGCTTGGCCAATTATCCTCAGGTGAGATCATTTGTACTACAAGAAATCTGCAAATAAGTAACTGGAATTTCACGTTCAACGCAATGGTAACCTTCCATAGGGTGAAAAAAAATTTCATATAGGTGTGATTAAAACTAGATTTGGGGAATTTCAGAAGCAGACAATGCGAGCCTCAGACATGCTTCTCCTCACTAATTTAGGTAGTCTATGCTCCACATCAGTGGTTCTTAACCTGGTGTGCGAGATGCACTTTCTGGGGGTGCGAGACATGGCCAAATTTTTGTTCGAAGGTATATCATCGAAACACAAATTAGACACGGGCATGTCAGTACAACTACTTTGTTTCATCAAACCCTATGTATTTATCTTCTTGGTTCTTTCGGTAAAGGGCGGCTGCTTGCGTTGTGGCCGAAACGTCGTGAGAATAATTTTATTATGTATTATTTTTATTATTTCCATTCTACGTGACTTTACCGAAAGAACCAAGAAGATGAATCCCTGCAGTCACGAAAGCTTTAAACCTATGTATTTACTAACATTTTTGTACAATTGAGAATCATAAGGGGTGCAAGGCCGCAAAAGTAAAGGTTAATAACCACTCCTCTACATGCCCGGCCTGTATAGTTCTACGATTCATACCAGCGGTGGGGGAAGCTTTCACCTTATTGAGAGCCTAATATAACAATCTGACATCTCTGGAGATCGTAATCGACCAGGCTATGCGTTAACTGTGTGTTAGCCGACTCTCTGTGTGGCATTACATAACATTTCCAAAATATTTGCAAAATTTTGTTTTCTCAAACTATTTCTCTCTCTAAAATTTACCAGGCTCTCATCTTCTTTCCCTCGGTCGCTTCGGGGTGGATTCGTTGACATGCTAATTTCTCTGCTCCAGCAAAACCACCTCTCTCTCTCTGCCCCCCCCCCCCCCTTTTCTCTATATTTAAGGCCTCGACACAGAGCGTTGGTGTACGGTGTTTTTTTCTGCAATATTTTGCTGTCTTTTCTTGGATTTTCTGTTTGCACCCAGTCACATATTCACATTAAGATGTTTTTTTGTTCATGTTTTAGTTTTTTGTTTTTTGCGGTTGCACCCGATTCAAGAGCCGAATGGTTCACAGGGCTATACCTAATAAATGAACTTGAACAGAGGCATTGGGTCTCTGTGTGTCTATGTTGTATGTCTCTCTCTGTGTGTCTCTGTGATGTCTCTCTCTGCTTGTGTGTCTGTCTGTGTCTCCGTGTCTGTGTTTTGTCTCTCTCGCAAATTTAGTTGTTCTACTTGATGACGACTGCTTGTGTTGCAATCGAAACGTCGTATTCTATTATCTAATTTATTTTCTTTTTACGTGACTTTACCGAAAGAACCAAAGAGTAATCTGACATCATTGGTGGGCAAAGACAAAGATCCCCCGTATATCCTTAACAGACTGGAGCAGCAAGCGCTGTTAGCGAGTAGCACCGGTACGACACACGAGGGGGGTGGGTGGGCGGGACCATGTCTCCGGCCGCCTTTGTCTCCCCAGTGGCGATGTTTACACACCGCACCAGGTAATCATTTGAGGCTGGACCGGTTCAGACAATCGTCACCAGTGTTGACCGCGAGCGGGAATCGAACCCCGGCTGCCATCGTTCGTAGCGCAGCGCGCGAACCGCTGCACTACCGCTCCCTGTTTGCAGGCGATGTGCACTTTAAGGCCACGTGAAATGTCAGCAACCACACATTAACACACATCGTTCGCGTCATCCGATAATAACATGAAAATAATAATGATACATCATCTTCCATTGCTGACCAAGCACGATAAATTTGGAAACAAAATCCTTTTTCCAGGTCAAAAACTTACCCTCTAGCAATGGCGGAGACAGGATTTTCAGGTAGGGGGGCAACCCCTCCAGCAATGAAAAATTATAGGAGTTGTTAGTAAGTCAGGACTTGTCCCTTGCTTTTTTTATTCGACGCAAGTGCAGCGATGGCGCAGCCATCGATCGAGGGTCGAATTAGAACCGCGTTGTGTGATCGGCATCGCGCTCGCTGAAGGTGTTGATGCCTTCAGGGAAGTCGTGTGCTGTATACGCAACTGCGCACAATTCTGAGTCACTTATAACTGCTTCGCCGTTACTTGTTGCCAATTATGGACTCAGACTATTGTCCTATCATCTCATAGAGTCCCTGGCACGTAATAATATGCTACACAGTGGCAGTGGGGGTCGCAAAATGCCGATTTATTACTAATAAACCCCAATGATCCCTTCGAAATTAGGGATTTCGATCGGATCATTGGGGGGGCACGTGCCACCCCCCCCCCCCCCCACTGGCTCCGCCAGTGCTCGATTAGGGCGGCTACGATCTTTGCAGTGAAGGATAAATGTTACTTGCTGATCGTTTCCAAGCCGTAGGCATCAATCATTAGGCCACAAGTGGCTGCAAAAATAAAAAATTGTAATGGATACCCAGAGACAAGTGACCAAAGGTAAGGCCTAAACCAAACCGAGATAGTTGGATAATTTCAGATCAGGCCTTTGACACTGAATTGTAACCGCAACAGCTGCGGCATCGAGCAAACGGAGGCTATATGCGAGGCGAGTAATTGGCTGCAATCACTTCTAAAATGCCGTTTACTTCGCTTATAAATCTGTAGAGTCGAGAAAAAACCTTTTCCTTTTTTAGTTTCCTGACACTGCACAAGCACATGTTTACTACAATGTGCCAAGGTTAATTGCGCGCCGTTTACAAAAGAAGACTGGAACAGAACACGCGAGTGGATTGTACGGCCAGCGTGACCCGGTTACACCTGACTGTGACGCCCAGACGCCGAAAAGTGCTCAATTTGGACGGAGGTCGAAACGAAGCGTCACCGCAGGAACAAGGGGACACGCGTGGATCTTTGTGCGGCGAGCGTGCCCCACGGCTACATCTGCCTCCCCCTGGCTAATGATACCGAACGAGTGAACAGAGCTCTATTTTAGAGACGTACGTAGAAGGTCGAAACGCACCGTCACCAATGTTACGCATTGCAAAGAAAACTGAATGCAGGGGTCACCAAGACCGCAGCACAAACCACTAAGCCACCACTTGCAGCCAAAAAGCACGGACACCAAACCTGCGCTGCTGTGATCCATCTCGGGCACAAGCTCACGTCGCAATTGGGGTCTCACAATGCTTGAATTGTCAACTCGCATCGACGGTTAAGCTCGTGACACCCGCGTGTGTAAATCACACGTGCAACAGAATCCATGGTTGTAATCACCATAAAAATATTGGTTCATCTTCTTGGTTCTTTCGGTAAAGTCACGTAGAAGGGAAATAATAAAATAATAATAATAAATATGTTTTTTTTTATTATTTCCCTTCTACGTGACTTTACCGAAAGAACCAAGAAGATGAATCTCTGCAGTCACGAAAGCTTTAAATCGAAAAGAAAAATGTTGGTTGCAAATGCTGTTGTGGGTTAAGTCCCTAGCACACAACTGGTGGTGCCGAAGTAGTAACTAATTCAAGATTTAAAGCTTTCGTGACAGCAAGGATTCATGTTCTTGGTTCTTTCGGTAAAGTCACGTAGGTAAAAAATAAAATTACTAAATAAAAAAGAAAATTATTTTATTTTACTTCTATTATTACTTTTAGTAATTGAATGTTTTACCTACGTGACTTTACCGATAGTAACTAATTGTCACGTTCTGTTCACGTGATGAACCTTACCGATTGGCTGTGTCGGGTGGAGGTGGGTGTACGACACGATCACCGCATCACGCGCTTTCAGATGCGCTTCTGCGGCCATCTGGAGCGCTCTTACTTCCGATATGAAGCCACTGTAATTTCAAATCTAAAATGACATTTCTTTTCTTTACAACTGCTTTTGTTTTTATTTTTTTGTCCTTCCCCCAGGCCTCTGATTAGCATGCTTGGCTACGTATGGTGCGAAACAAGTTCAACATACATACATAAAACATTTCCACGATCAAACCCAAACAACTTCATCGCGGACAGAATCCACGTTATATTATTTACGTTTCTCGCAATGGGTTCATGTGAACCCTGCGCCCATTAGTGGCCACTACAATCATCACAGACGCAAGCCACGGTGAAAAGGTTAGCACACTGGCCTTTGAACCTAGGTCGCCAGGTCAATTCGATCTGGCAATGATGCGGCAGTTGCAACGGCTGGGCAAGTTACTTAAATCCCCGCTCCCACCACCAG